ACTTTACTATTTCAAGTGTATCAGAAAATTCCTTCTCTAGCTTTTGAATACGGTTATAATGATCAAATAATAAGTTGGAATAGGAGTTTAGTAAACCTTCGCTAAAGATGACACAGTTGGTCAAGGGAGCGGGTTTTTGTTGTTTAAAACTGACTTTAAAATCGACAGCGTATTTGCTTGATTTCTGATTTCCAGGAGAAGTATGCATCTCATAGGAATCGTGTTTTTTAGCTTCATTTATCAATCTTTTATATACATTTTTAATGCTTTTTGATTCTTTTTTCCATAATTTGCTTGATAATTTAGAAACGACAGAGCACGAATAATTAAAATTATTAACTTTGAGGTAATAGTGAATGGCAGTCCTATACTTCATAAACGAATTCTTAAGATTTCGAAGTTTCTTATTATGTAAAGCTGTTATAACCATAAGAATTCTGTAATTTATGGGGAAGGGTTCGTTTTTACTTCGACCTTTCATGGTAAATGAAAAATATCGCAAAAGCTCGCTATTTCTCACGTTTTTATAATTTCTACTATGTATTATCAGGATCAGATCAGACTCCGTCTCAGATCAGCAAGGTGTAACAAACATTTTACAAATATCTTGAAAAGTACATTACCAATGTTGGCATTTCTGAAATAGGAATAGATTCAAATGTAAACTAAATATAAGTATGTGCATTTTATATCGATATTCGCATTTTATATATATTCGCATTTTATATATATTCGCATTTTATATATATTCGCATTTTATATATATTCGCATTTTATATATATATACATATTATATACATGTGCATTTTATATACATGTGCATTTTATACGTATGCCGATACATTTGCATTTTATAACACTTTTTTCTTCATTTATTTCAGTGTTAAATTTTTATTATTGTTCTCTTTCACTCTAGAATATCAGCCTTTTCATCTTTTTCAAACATCAAAGTAAGCATGATTATAAGGCTAACTATCGCATCAGCAATATATAACCACATAAAAATAAAATTCGCTGCTCGAATCCTACATGCAGTTTTACTTTTTGCAAATTTAAATTCGTACT